TGTTGAGGTCAGGGCTCTATGCAGGTCACACAAGCTTTTCTACAGTGCACACAAAACTCATCATGCTTGCTCTAAGTCTAGGGGTACAGTCATACTGAAATAGAAAACTCGCCAAACTCTTGCCACAAGGTTGAAAGCCCACAATGAAATATAATTTTAAATCAGTGTTTGTCAATGGAGAGTGCATGGCATTTTGTATAAGGTCAAGTACCTGCTTTCAGAATGAGATGTCCAACAAGCTCATATAGGTATGATGGTCAGATATTCACAAACATATAGCCATATAGTGTGCTAGCCTTTTCTTCACCTTCCCACTTCTCCTTTCAGCTGATGGCAGCAAGGTAAGGAAGCCCTGTTGAAGCTCCAAATCAAGACTTGGAGCTTCCATGGTGCTAAGGACTCTCCCCTATGTGGCAGCAATAGGACAATCAAGTAGCACTTGTTATGTGGGAGGAAGGAGAGTGAGTGCTTTTCAGTTCCACACCTGCAAGTACTGGGTAATACTCTTCCTGGGACCTTGTCAGGGGAGTGAAGGGGATAGGTGTTCTGTACAGTAGGGGTGTTATGTTAACCTGTTACTTTGCTGTGCATAGACAGAGTACCGGTTTACTTTATCACAGGTCAATGTAAGTAGACCTTTCGGAGTCTTGTAACCAATGGCCAGGTATTGGTCAGGTAATCATTGCAGAATTGGAGGATTAGTGGTGAGTCAGGGCTTCTGGTTGGCCAGGTGATCAGATGCTGTAGTTCCTTTGGCAGAAGTCATATGACTTACATCTTAGCATTGGTGACATAACCAGTGTTGGATGGCTTCGGACATACAATTAGGAGGAGGGGGCAACGTTTTACATCTACGTTTGATATCTTATGCTTACTTGGTGTGAATGCTAAGAGCTACCATTTAGAGGGCAAATAGTCCAAGCAACAGTGAAATTTTCTTTTTTTATATACTCTGCCAGTGCAGTTGTTTTTCCAATGTTTATACTTGTTTGGTCTGCAAGAGGAAGTATACTCTGTCATTTTTAGTGTAACAAGTTAAATCCCATTAGTTGAGCAACAGTGCTTTTTATATAGCCACATCTTAATATAGGCTGTCTCTCCGCTCGCTGAATGAGGGCACTTATCATGGTTCCCCACTCTTTCTCCCCTCTCATCCTCAACTTTAAGAGTTATGGAAAGCAAATTCCAGTTACACCTGTCCACCTTGACAGCCAGGGGAGAAGATTGTAGCCATTCGGATTAAAGACATATCCATCAGAAGCTGCTCTAGACAGGTAGTTATACGTCTCTTTAGAATATATGAATCCCATCGGCTGCATGGTAGGAAGCGGAGAACGCCGACTTTATATAAATAATTATCCTATCACTGATATACTATGCGCCGTCACCATATATTCTTCCTAGAGCGCCATTCTCATCCTTATAACCTGTAACATAAATCTTAAGTCTTCTTATTAAATAAAATGTTCAGAATAACATTTTCTGGGTATGGCGCACTTCACCAATCTTTTGCCTCGTTACTCCATGTCTACATCTGACAGTTTGAAAGGTAGTTTAGCTTAAGTGTAATGATAAGTGTTACCTAAGTAACAACATTTCCCATTCTTAATCATGCAGCTTTTTCAGGTCTTTGAATGCATGGTGTAACTCGATAACTACAGTCATTTATAACAATGCAAAACAAATATCTGCTGTAGAAAGCTTACTGCTGATTAGATTGTTTCCCCCTCTTTTTGAGGTAAAGCTTAGAAATTAGAGTTTTGTAACTTTGGCTAAAATCAAAGATAGCAAAGCATGTAAGCAGATTATGTGATACCTTTAAAAAATTAGTACAAACATTTTGCTACATTATAATGGAGTCCGTTCCCCTTTTTTGCAGCCTGACTGCCCCCTGCCTAGCTACAATTAAAAGACAACTATGGTGTAAGTGTTTTTCCCCATAGTTCTCTATAGGGTCACTGGAGGTCATATACTAACCTCCTCCCGTGACCCAAAGCTCAGTATATCGCAGGATACTGAGAGTGCTGCAGCCGGGACAGATCCCGACAATACTGTCGAGATCCACCCAGCTGTGTGAGTGACAGCTGGCTCTGCCTATCTAGAGGCAGAGCCATCTGTGCCCGCCCCCTCCCTGTTCGTCCCCCACTCAGCGTATTGTCGGGATCTGCCTAGCCGGGACAGATCCCGACAATACTGTTGAGATCCACCCAGCTACGTGAGTGACAGCTGGCTCTGCCTGTCTAGAGGCAGAGCCAGCTGTGCCCGCCCCGTCCCTGTTCGTTCCCCCACTCAGCGCTGGAGGATCGGAGTTGGGAGGGGGACAATCCCTCACTGCAGGGAGACGATCGTAAAGTGAGCAGATCGGCGGCATGTTTCTGCTCACTTCCCGATCAATAGAGCTGACCTGTGACAGCTTCTTTGTCACAGGTAGACTCTAACTATGAGGTTGAGTAGAAATCACTCACCTCATAGTTCTCCTTTAAAGTATATGTAAAAATGGCCAAACACTCATCTAAAATACAGCAGAAACTTCCATTAACACTTAGGAGTGTTTCGATTGAGGAATCCTGCTATTTGCATTGCATTTTGACAGCGGCCGCCAGGTCAAAATACCCGACGTGAGCGAGCTGCTCATTGGCTGCCAGCTCCTATCGCACAAACATTTTCTGACCAGCTCCTATCGCACAAACATTTTCTGACCGAAAGGGTGCCAACAGTGGCACACACTGTGTGAACTTCGGTCGGTTCCTCAAAAAACGTCTGAAATTTGCACAGGTAATGAGCACCTTAAGGCAAATCACTAAAAGCTCATAATCTTTACAATGTGAAAGTGATTTCAAAAGTAATTTTCAATCAATTAAAATAATACCTAGTAAACCTGCCACAAAGGTCACTTCCTGTTAATAAGGTTGCAACGCTTAGTTCCTGCCTCCGAATAGTTTTCCTGTTTTGTCACCCTGTCGCACGATCTTCAAATGGAGACTGCAGGTGGCTGTTTCAACACATAATACAGGCATAGTCCACTGTTCATCATCAGGAAAACTGAGAAGTGTCATGCAGTTATCACTGAAGTGAATGTAGACTGGAAGTGGCAAAGAAGAAGCTTTAAATGGGCAAGACCAATACAGAAACAGGATGCAAGCTTAGAATGGAAGATCTCTGTTTTAAATTGATTTTATTTGGCCTAGACAAAAAACTCAGCACACAACATCATTTTTCAAAACTACTTATAGTACCAGCTTTGTGCATGTTTACTGATATGTCATTACTAAACTTTATCAGCAGAATCACCTAACATTTAAAATGTGCCCTTATAGTTAGTGACACATGAGTTATACAAGTGTCTTATTAAAGGCACTGACTGGATACAATAGCCCACAGCAACTGTATAGCTTTATCCGATCAGTCATGAACAGAATAGGTTGGCAAATTCTGGCTGCATTTTAAAATTCGTCAAAAAGTGCATTTCATTTATATGATTTTTCCATCATTCTGAATTAATATTTGAAATTTTTTGGGGTATTTATACCTAAATAAATAAACAGACTAAATTATAATGATGTACAAATTAGCTACAAAACCCAGATAAGAAAAAGTGAGTTTTGCTTAGAATCTGGGCACCAAGCAGTGTTTAAGCCATGTTTGAGAAGGCACTCGATGGAGCTCTATAATGTTACCACAGATGTAACTTTTAGCCTTGCTGTGACACTTTCACATCCTTACGTGTGATTTTGTGCACCTAAAGGCTATTTGCCATTTAGAATTCCTAATCCACATTTTTGTATGTGTTCATCATAAGTCACATCCTGTTACAGTTCAAGACTTGTTCAAGCATAGATTTTGGAATCTCAGAAAGGGACAGACTGAAAAACACACATTTGTCACGCATTGCTTATTGTGACTCTTACCGGACTTCAGTTATACTCCACCAAAAAATTGCTTAGATTAACTCATACTGAACCATACAAATACAAGTAGCTTGCAACCTTTATGTCTCCTTGTAGTCTGAGTTTATTTGGTATTATAAACTGGATTTTAAAAAAATTTCTGTTACCTGTATTTTTTTACATTGTGTAGTTGGAAAATGTAGGAGAGTTTGAAAAAAAATAAGATTTTAGTCTTTTCAATATCACAGTTAGGTCAAAGCAACCTAATATTGATTTTTGGGTTTTGGATGAATGCTGATGGGTTGAATTGTCTGCATGTTTGTGCCCTAACCAAACTTTTGGCTCTGTATGCCAACCACGTCTAAAGGTGGTTTGACTCCTTGAGGGAGTTTCTGTGATAGAAAGTAGTTAATTGAGGAACCCAGAAAAGGAGGGTATCCAGGGAAGAGCTGGGTTGGGGGGCAGAATGGCATCTACCCTCCAGTCCAGTACACAAAATATATGTTAGGCTGGTGGCCCTGAGTGAAGATACTCCCTCATTCAGACCTCAATCAGAATAGAATTCAGTGGTAGCTGTTGGGATTTATATATCAATCAGCTCCCTGTACAGACCTGCAATTACAGTACCTGGCAGAAGAAAGTCTTCCATGCTTTCTTTGTGGCTCTCAGATCTTACACAACCAAATGCAGAGAGCTGCAACAAAAGTCATTGTGGGTAATAGGCAAAACTGTATCATCTGTTGTATCCATTTGTTAAAGGAAGCTAAATGAGAAAATTATTTGTGATGACTGCATAGTTATTTTTTTTTAGATTTTTTTAAAAATAAATCTGTATTAAATGTGTAGACTAGAACTGTTCAGCTTTGGTTTCTTTCCAAAATGTAGTATAATTACTGACTTTCCATAAGCCAGTATTCGTATATAGCTAGGCATAACCACCCACTCTCCTGGTGAGGCCTGGTTATTGGCTATTGTGTTGATACAGGTTTTACCGCATTTTGAATATTCTACTCAGAAGGCCTTGTTTACTTTTTTGAGTTTAAGCACTCATGTTCAAACAAGTAAAATTATATACAAAATGTGTTTTCTTTTTGTTTTACCATGTGCATGCAGCCTGCAAAAAGTCTTGGGGGTTTCGCTTCAGGCACCCAATTACTGGTAAGATAAGCTGTATTTTTTACATTCCACTGTATGTGAATTGCTGGTTATGTTTAAAAATATAAAAATAGTCTAATGCCACGCATTAACAAACTACCGCAGTGTAGCTCTGGCAGGATATAGAAATATGCTACCTGCCTGTTCTCCCACCACAAAATAGAATATGGCCTATTCACGTTTAATTTTTCCTAACGGCCACTTAATTTCCTAAACCTTGTCCTCATACTCCCTAATTGTATTGTGTAGCTTTTGTGTTTGCGTAATAAAAAAAAAAAAAAAAGAAAAAAGAATATAATTGTATTGTGTAGCTTTTGTGTTTGCGTAATAAAAAAAAAAAAAAAGCAGAAAGAATAAAAGAAGTGCGTGATTATTCTTGCAAGCTAATTCATTGTTTTAGGGTATGTACTTTTTTATGTTTTCCTTGCCGCAGCTATATACTGTGTGTATATATATATATATCTTACACAGTCGACACATCCCCCCCTCTGTTCTGTAGAATGTACAGGAGTTTACTGAGAAAGTAAAAGAACGATTCTATTACCATATAAGACAAGTCAGGGGCACACCCCTACCCGAGCTCAGTACATTTATCTCTCAGACTGGATTTTCTATTTTTCTCTATCTGGGATACATCTCAGAAAAGCATCCATGCAGCTCTGCGTTTTACGTAAAGCCAATACCATGCTTCTTTCTAAAGGTAGTGGGAGTATTAGTATTATAGAACTAAACCAGATTAGGGCGAATGTGAATTAGATTTGCTAACAGATGGCGCGGTGGAAATTAAAGGTGCTTTACGAATGGAAGAGACAGCGGCTCTGCCTTTCTCTCTGTCTTTCTTTCATGCGCTTGATAGATGGGTATAAATCACAACAATCCCGTCTTGACAGCCAATTTCAAGAATTTGATCTGGTTAAAGACGCGGCATCCCTGCAGCCCGTTCTCTCGATTTTTCTCCTCTGTGCGGTACCTTGTCATCCTTCTGGAGGCTCAGTCACCTGCCTCTCCCTAATGGCATTCCTCTAATTACAATTTTAGCTCTTTAGTGTAATTACTTTGCTACATAGACATATTTTTCCAGCTGTCTCTCTGCAGTGTTTTCTACTTTTTTTTTTCTTTTAATACAACCCTTGCTGTCATTTTTAGAGGTGTCTCTGTAAATATGTTTTCTTTGAGCTAAATTTACAGTTTCTGCTCTCCATTAATTATTTTTAACTCGATCTTAGGAGGAATGCCATTCCTGGAAGTAACAAGCAGTTACTTTTGGCTATTAATATAGCTCTTTTGTTAATAAAAGACCACTTGGCGTAAATAAACTGACAAACTATAATTAGTCTTCATAAATGTGTATGTACGGAACATCTTATAGCTGTGTAGAACTGAGCTTTGTAGCATTGTATCTGCATTTGTGGCTTAGCTGAACATTACCTCTTTGATATTGGCCATTTCAAGCTGAAAAAAGGCTGACAACAATGTCCTTCTCATGGAATATTAGAAAGGAAGTTAGCTTCCTTTCCAAGATCACACTCCCTCCAAAATCACACTTCAATATTTACAATTTTATGTCTTTTTTTTTCTGTAACGTTTATTTTATTTATTACAGGTATTTAGATAGTGCTGACAGTTTACACAGCGCTTTACATACTGCACACAATAATAAGAAATCACCTGCACTCCATACAGTGTACAGACCTTGAGTAAGAGGTTGGTGCTTGAAGTGACAACACGGATGGCGCCGTGTCAGATACAGTCCATAATAGAAGTCACCAGCACTCGATGATACGTGCAAGAAGTAAAGCACTTTTTATTCAATCGTCACATGCGTCAAACAGCCAACGTTTGGGGGCCACACAGGGTCCCTTCTTCTGGGCAACATAGTGACTAGTGTTCACCAGGTCACTATGTCGCCCAGAAGAAGGGACCCTGCGTGGCCCCCAAACGTTGGCTGTTTGACGCATGTGACGATTGAATAAAAAGTGCTTTACTTCTTGCACATATCATCGAGTGCTGGTGACTTCTATTACATACTGCACATTCACATCAATCCCTGTCCTCAAGGAGCTTACAATCTAAAGTCCCTATTGCTTACACATACAGGGCCAATTTAGACAGGAGCCAAATAACCTTACCTTTATACCTTTGCCATTTGGCATTTCATGCTTATTGGTGCCTTTGTTGACTATTAGTTGACTTTTATCTTACAAGTCAGGGTTCATAAATTATAGGTCACAAAGGTATTTGTGTTGTTTCAACATCTCCCTACATTCATATCCATTAGTTTCACATTAACAGCAAACAGCTACTTTCAAAAGTTAATTTATACTACCATGTCAAAAAGGTTCGACAACTATTGGAATTTGGAAAAAGATGTCCTTTTTAGAAAAAGGAACAGAATCCCAGGTTTTGATTCAAAATCTTATTTTATTTATCTGTCATGTCTCCCCCCACCACTTGACTTTTACTGACTTAATACCAACGGATTCAAAGTCATAACTACTATGACATTGCAAACTGTAGCACTAAGTCCTGTGTGCTATCTCTGCACTAAACACAGCATCGGTGCATTTAAGAGCAGCCAGGATTCGGGTTTTAATCGTTGCTTTAGAAATTTAGGCAAAGCATATAAGAATCACAATCTGTGAACCAACAAAAACAGTGCACTTTCAGCCATTGTAAATCTATTTTTTTACTTGCTAGTGTGTGAGGGAATGAGTGTCTGATTGCTTGGTTGGTTTTTCATGCACAAGGTTTGTGAACAACTCACATAATTAGTTCTGAATTGCTTAACTCTATCCCTGTAACATCCAGTTTTACTTTCTAATTTTAAACCTCAGTCATACAGAACCTCAGAGAAATCTTGCACTTGCCTGTGTGTGAAGTAGTGGGAAAACAAACATTTCTACTTACAGTCCTTGCTGCGCTTTTCATATGGGGGTTGTATTATTGGCAGCCCTGTGTCTTAGTGGTTAGCACTGCCTTGTGCTAACTTGCCTTGTTCTGCTTTGCAGCACTAGGAGTCCCCGGTTCGTTTCCTTGTCAGAACACCAAGGAGTTAGAGTTCTCTGTGCTTCCGTGGGTTTCTTCTGGATACTCCGATTTCCTCCCACACTCCAAAGACATGTTGGAAGGTTAATTGGCTCCTGTCTAAATTGGCCTTGTTTGTGTGTGCAATAGGGACTGATGTGAATGTGTAGTATATTAAGCACTGCGTACATTGTTGGCGCTATATAAATACCTGTAATGAATTAAAAATGGTATAGCACTTCCTTATTGTCTGTGGGAAAGGGCAGATGGGCATAACTGAGAATGGTAGGGTAAGGCAGCATGAGAGATACTGTAAAATGTCACCAGGAACTCAAAATAGCAGAAAATGGGATCTGACAGACTTTTGAAAATATCTAAATCAAGGAAATCTTGGCCTAGACAAAGATGGGCTGCCATTTATCAAAACATTGGACAGAATAAACTCCTCCTGTTTGGACATACACTCCTGCTCAAGACCCGCTGCCTCTACTACTTTCTATTTATCTACATCAAGGAAATCTTCAAGATCTAGCTTGAATCCTAAATTCCTACAAATTAATTCTCTTATACCTAATTTTATTATTTGTCTATACAGTATGTTAAGATATCTACATGTAGATATATCTACAAGTAGTTAACGTGTACTGTAAACGAAGGCTTTATTCAGTTGCACAGCTAGCAAGGTGAGCCACTCCTTGCATACACTTGAAAGGTTAAAAATGACAGCTTACTACAGTGAATTCAAATACAATTATGCAGTCACTTTGTTTGTCAACTGGAGCTCAGTCTAACATATGCTGAGTCTCTGCCGCAGAATAGGAGGAGAGGAGTCTGTCTCGGGGAAGAACAGATCTTTTGAAAGAGGCAACAAACAGTTGGGGAAAATGATGTTTCCTACCGACAATCAAATCAAGTGTAGTAACAACTCGCCAACTCCCCGCTGCTAGCTGACAGCACGCCGAAGCACGCTGGGACAAACATTCACTTAAATATTGATTGCAGAAGAACGTCATTCTGTGACTTACACAGACGTTACACAAAGAAGAGGGAAATAAAAATTATAGACTTCTATTTCTCAGTAACGTTTGAAAATGTGACCTTTTTAAAAAATTTTCTTCATTAGATTCTTGGGTCAGGCTTTCATCTTGCAAGAAGAACAGCCATGTCTCCCCAAATTGGCTTTATGTAAAAAGTTGCCACTGTATTTTAATTTTGGTTAGTTACTGTGTGCCAAAAACTTTCAGGTTTAAAGAGCACCTGTACAATGACACCAAACATACAGCAGTGAAGGAGGAGTTTAAACAGTTTGAAGTGGTCTTGAATGTAGCAAAGATAGAGCAGGGACACTAAAATGTTATTGAATTCCACTGGAGGAGACAATAGAGGCTACAAGGGTTATACTATTATACGGCAACTATACTTGATCGAGGCTAGGTTTTCATTTGGTTTGTAAATGAACAACACTAAAACATACAGAAAACTAGAAGTAAATGAAAAAAACCGTTCCAAAAATATTTTAGGAAAAACTCAAAGTTGTGAGGACAAGCACACAGGACAGGTTCAGAGTCAGAACTTCACTGGCTGCATGCTCGGTACAGGTCCCAGACTCTTTAGACGATGAAGCTATGATTATGATATGGGTGCAAACCAGCAACAGAACATCCTGCCCTGCATGCTTGCTTCTGGTCAGTGACAGCAGTGAAACCAGGATGAGGTTGACAGTCCTGGAACTAGCACCTTCACAAGTTGGTTCTTTTTAACATAACTCAAAATGAGCATCCCCTTAAAATGCATTATAGTTCTCCTTCTCAGAAGAAGAAGCTTGGGGTATTTTAGGATAAGGATCAAAGATCTTCTTTGTGCTTGCCTCCATACCACCAATTCAAAGGTCTTCACCCACAAAGTTCAGGCCCCAAAAATAGTGGTCAACCTCATAGATTTCAAGCTTGGGTTCAGCACAATAAAAAAAGAGAGAAAGA